AACTACTTCCTTGATTACACTTCCTCCTTTAAAAAGATATGTTGTGATATTAAGGCAAGAAAAAATCTCATAGCTTTTGTTAAGTGAAGCTTGCACATTCTGCCCATCCTTTTGTGGGTGTTTCTTCCTCCCATATTCTCTCTGTCAGTACCGTTGTTTGTTTCAACTTTGGGCAGATTCAGAACATCATAGTGCACAAAAGGGGTAATTTCAGATGATGAATCGTACCCAAATTGTACCCGTGTGAAGGTAACTGTGAAGTCTCATTGCACATTGTCTTGTTTTTCTTTTGCAAAGTTATTTTGAACCTGGAATTTTAGGTTAAATTAAGTAAAAATTCTAGACTGGAAACCTCCTGAACTTTGTGCATACCTAAAACATCAAGTTTTATATAAATGTAATAGATGCACAGACATAAATGCATGCTACTGCAACGCATGTGGACCCTTTTCGTACTGTCTGCAGCACTTTGAACAGTCCGACACTGCCCTCTGCTGATTAAGATGGGTAAAGGCTCTGCTGTAGGGGGAAGCCATATGTCTGATTTTTATTCTGAGTCTGAGTGTTTTTTCTCTGATGCCATTATTCCTGAGTTATGAACAGCCTGAGCTGTAAGCCTGTCACCAGAGCTAATGTCACAGTTCAGTCATCATCCTTTCCCCAGAGAACACAAGAGTGAGGCTGCTTCGGACACTGGGCATCTCCAGAGCCCTGAACTTGATAGCTCAGGGCTGCTCTAAGATTTGCTGTTAAGTCTCTTTCTTCCTTCAGTTCTTCAGCTTAGCCCAGGCTGTGCTCAGTTTATTTGAGCGGACTTGTCTGAGTTTCCTAAGTAGGCTGTACTGCAGAAAAGACGTCCTTAAGAATGATGAAATGTTAACAACATTTCATGATCCCGCTTGATAAAAATAGCACTCCTGAAAGCCGAGTCTGTGGACCTTTGGAGGCAGGGATGAGTCGGCCTCTCGTAGGTTTCTTCTGACCATCCATACTCCAGATCAGTTTATCTTATTTTTGTCAAGAATCTATTTAGTTATGATTTGTGTGACTTTACTGATATCTCTTACTAGGTATTAGTGACTTGAAACAGACCTTTTTGAGCTGTCAGTCACTGTGGTAATCTATGTTATTGGCCTAGTAGAAGGTGCTTTAACTGTTGAAGCTTTGACCCTGTGCCAGCTCTTCCATTAGCTATCACAGTTGAGTACCCTTCCAAAATCCATAAAGCTTGAAGTGACATTAACTGAACTATGCTTTTTAAAAAAAAAATCAGTTTTGACTTCTGGCAGTACCAGTGGCAGAATCTGCCATATGTTACAGTAGAATTTGCCCTTGTGAGAGGAATTGTGGACAGTCTGTGGAGAGCTTGGGCCAGGCTTTGGAAATTGCCAAGGTCACCTTTGAATGTAGATGTAAAAACCACTGTTAGAATTCTCAGATGTTAACACTGGTATATCAGCGATGGAAGGAAACACATCTTACATTATTCTGCCTGTCTTGCAATTCTGCAATGTGAGGATATAGCATTTCTCCCAATGTGTGTTATTTTTAGACTGTATTTCTATCATCCTTGAGATTGAACAACTGCGTCTCCTTAAAAATATTCAAAGATGGTCGGTAGCCATTTAGTAACACTTGTGCAGAATGCTGGATGGACCTTTTGCTAACAAGGGGAGAATTTTTTGGCTTTGCTGGAACCTCTACAAATCATGATTAAAAACTCTGAAAGAAGAGCCATTGGTTCAAAGATTAGATGAAGAATAAAATTCAAAATTAACCATTAACCCGAGGCTTAGCTTATATTATACAAACTATTTTTTCAGGGGCATATAACCTCTAATAAGCTTAATTAATAGCTGACACACTTTTCATGTGGATAAGTAAGTTTCTTATTGTATTAACACCTTATAATTGATTTACATTTTAAACAGTTGTAATTCTACTTAGTTCAAAGTGATATTTCCATATTCGGAAAGACAAGTATTAAAGAAGCCTGATTACTAAATCTTGACTTTGATCATGAAGCCAGCTTTGAAATACATGTTTCATTGAGTCCTTTCAAGCTATCTGGCATGCTCAAAAGCGTATATATTAAATTTGAATACATCGCCCATCAAATTCTTATTCCTTAATAAAGTGTTGGTGTCTAGGTTTATTTGGCACTTCATTATTATTATTATTATTTTTGCTTTCTAAAATGCCTGAAGAATGCATAATTATGAAGCAAAAATGGAAGGACAGGAATGAAATTTTTAACATTAACCCAATTTTACATTTCAAAGAGGTGAATCTAAAAATTTTTTCTATACCTTTGCCTGGTAAAAAGACTTACTCTAACAATGCTGGCTGTGAGTGACAACATAGAATTTGTATCTTCCTTTATTTTAAATTAGCGAGAAGGATTGTTTAACAAAGAAAATTCTCATCTTTAAAATAGTGGGTGGTTATCGTAGAAGGTGAAAAATAATAAGAAAAAGTTACTTTATATACATACCCACAGCAAAAGGCAATTGCCACTTTTAACATTTTGGCATACTCTATTGCTGCCTCTTCCCATTCACTACTTTTTTAAAAAAAACATATTAACAGTTGAACTCAGACATGCCAATTACACCATCTTGTGCTCTGGTGAAGCATTTTTTAAAGGAACAGAAAATGCCTTTACTTGGTGCTAAGGGACAGAGTGTAGATTCTTCAGTAGGAATGTAGAAGGCAGGATGCTAACAGACCCAATCCATGTTTGCAATTTAGTTGGTGGAGATCTGAAAAGTAGGCTAATGGTGGGGAAGCCTTTCCCTGATAATGTTCATGCTTCCTGGTTCACAGGGGCTGGGAACCGATGAGGACTCCCTCATTGAGATCATCTGCTCAAGAAACAACCAGGAGCTGCAGGAAATTAACAGAGTCTATAAGGAAAGTGAGTAGCTTGATTTCTGTGATTCATCCTCTAAGCCCAATTTCTGTGACCCTGTCACGGCCACCAGGGTGAGTGCTCGGGTTAAGATGCCTGGATTGTTGATGTGCTGAAGTGCCTGCCATCTTGACCGTGCAGACCGGGGTTGGCTGTGGTCCCAAGTTTCTCTCCTTCACCTCCTCATTGCCGGTGCTTTGATTATTACATTCCACTGAAACTTCTGTGTTGGAAGAAGGGTAGACAGGAGGGAAAGGAGAGAAAACAAAATTTATTTTTAAAAAAGATCTGATGAGGAGAAGTAGCAAGTATTATATATGGATTCCATTTATTGGGTGCTGTTCAGTCTCTGCTCAAAAGGTTCCCAACTCTGGACTGTGGGTAACTGAAGAATCACAGCAAGAAGCCGCTGTCGGCCTGTGCACACTAAACAGTATAGAAGGCTGTGAGTGGAATAAACAGCGCAACTTATGTTGCTACTGCATTTCTGTTTTCTTTTACTTTTTAAAGTTGATATATCATAGTTGTACATATTTTGGGGGTACATGTGATATTTTGGTACATGTACCAAGTCAGGGTCATTGGGATATCCATCACCTCACACATGTATTTTTTTCTTTGTACTGGGAACATAACAGTTCCTCTCTAGCTACTGCATTTCAATATAGATGCTGTTTTGACTGTTGAAATATAATTTTATTCAAAAGCATTATTTCTTAGTAGTTTCTGCCTTTGTGCATTTTCTCAGTGGACAATAAAGCATGATTGTGTGTGTGTGTGTGTGTGTGTACATGTAGCCCTCCAGTTTTTTTGATGTTCAGAATGAGTATTCACAGTCAGGAGACAGTATTTAAACTGCACAAGAGGTCACTGGTCAAAGGTGAGCCCGAGGATCCCTGATTTGATCTAGCCCGGCTGCCCCTTGTCATGGACAATAACTCTGGCTCTGATTTCATGAGGGTGAAAATTATTCTAGTGAATCCTTTGTCCGTTGGGGGTTAAGAAGAATGGATATATCCAGCTGACATAGCTGTTCTGCTTTTCAGAGTCTTAGTGGGAAACGGGAAATTGGAGTGGGTGGTTGGCTTCACAGGCAGAAAGCATAAAACCAGATGTATTTTTCTCCAAGTGTACAAGACTGATCTGGAGAAGGACATTATTTCGGATACATCTGGTGACTTCCGCAAGCTGATGGTTGCCCTGGCAAAGGTTGGTTTCCCAGTTTCTTTCTTTGCCTTTGCTTCCTCCCAAGGCAAGTCACATACCTCATTTTAGACTTGGAGTGAACTAACTAAATCCCCTGTGCCTGCATCAGAAATTCAGCTGCATTTTCCACAGTGGGCTTGCACTGTCACTGCGGAGTTGTCAATTTTGTATAATAGGATTTCTTATCCTGCTAAACCTCATGGACAAGTGGACTTTGGGAGCAAGAGGAGGGTTGGGCAGCTCTCAAGTCCTGGCCTGGATTTACATGCCAGAGCCTTGGCCGCATGACTTAGGGAAGGTCACTTTGCCTCTCTCTGTGGTCATGCAGGACCCAGTGGGAAGTGACCTTCTTGTTTCTTTTTCTTGCGTTCACTTCTCATGGGAGAATTTGCCCATGTAGTCCTTTGTGTGGAGTAAAGTTGTCTTTGTCGAGCGGATCTCTAATGTTAACACATTAACATGGAGGAAAGGGCGCTTCCCCCGTGAATCCCTAATTCTGGCTGGTGAATCACTTAATGCTTATGTGCCAGGGGAGGGACGAGAGACTGTTTTCTCTGGGAACCCTGATGACAAATGACAGACAGTATGCCGCCTCTGGCGCGCTCAGTCTCCATTACTGCAACAGCTCCTGTGCTGTTCACCCTGGCTCTCCTCTCTTCCCCCCCACTTCCCCCGTGTACCGCCGTTCACGGATCTCTGTGAAACACACTTTCACCACGTTACTTCCCTGTTCAAACCCCATTTCTGCTGCATCCATTGTAAACTCTTAACTGCTGGGAAAAGTCCTCTATACCCTCCTTGCATCTTCTCTGCTAGGATTCTCTGCTGCTCAGCTCTGCCCTGACAGGGCAGCTCCTTACTTACCGGGAACGTGCTCCGCTGCGCCTGTGCTGGCCCTCGTGTGCAGTCTGGCTCTCCCTCTCCTCTTGGCTAGCTGCATCTGACTGACCCTTGACATTACTGTTTGCTGACTCTGCTCTCTGAGAGTTCTTCCTCCTCCTGGATTTCGTGTCTTCCTAGTGCCATAGGTTCCCTGGCTGCTGTACATTTGTTTCCGCTGATTCTTCCATCTGCATTGCAAGCTTGTGGAAGGAAAGAGCTAAATCTCATCAGCTTTTTGTGGGGGATGGGGAAAGGGATTCTGTAAGGCGTGTAGGCCAGGACTGGGTACCAAGGAGGGGGTTGTTGATGGAGAGGCACAGCATCCACTTCCTTGCTCAATGATTTTACCATCCTTGGCTGGTCTAGGTTTCAACGTAAGAAAAACCTTAGGTGGATACTTATTTAGAAAATCAAGTAATGGCTTACACGGACTGGGGAGAAAACATTTTCAGTTTTAAAATACACAAAGAAATGGATTCGAAGTTCTTTTCTCCCCTCCTCATAGGGCAGAAGAGCAGAGGATGGCTCTGTCATTGATTATGAACTGATTGACCAAGATGCCCGGGTAAGTGCTGAACTTTTTGGTTTAAGTTTCTGTTTTCTGGTAAGTCTCTGGATAGTCTGTATAGTAATTTAACCCTGTGTAACAAATGATTTCCAAACTCTGTAACTTAAAACAACAAACATGTATTATTTCTCAGTTTCTGTGTGTCAGGAATTGAGGAGTGGTTTAGTGCAGTGGTTCTGGCACAAGGTCTCTTGAGTAGGGTTGCTTGAGCATCCTCACAACATGGCAGCCAGCTTTCCCCAGAGCAGGCAATCTGGGAGAAAGCAAAGAGGAAACCATAGTGTCTTTTACGACCTAATCTCAGGAGTCCCACCCTGCACTGCTGTCACCAGCTTCTGCAGAGTGTGATGTGGCCATGCACAAAAATCAGGCAGGCAGGTGGGAAGCAGAAGAAGGTGGAGAAGACATAGCCAGGGACCGGACAGCTTCCTGTTTCATTGCGGTTGGGGAGAAAGGGAGGACCTGCTTCCAAGACTGTGCACTCACGTGACCGTTTGGTAGGAGACCTTTGATTCAGTCCACATACGCCTCTCCATGGGGTTGCTTGAGCATCCTCACAACATGGCAGCCAGCTCTCTCCAGAGCAAGGAATCTGAGAGAAAGCAAAGAGGAAGCCACAGTGTCTTTTATGACCTAATCTCAGGTGTCACACCCTGCACTGCTGTCATACTCTTTTCATTAAAAGTGAGACATTGAGTCTAGCCAACACTCACTGCGAGGGGATTATTAGGCTCCTCCTTTGGAAAGGAGGAATGTCAAAGAATTTCTGGCCATCTTTTGAACCCACTGTAGTCTGAGAGCAATGTTTATTAGAAGATACTCTCTTATAATGCAGGCGTTACTTATAGAGTCAATACCTGACTCATATATGCTCACGTAGGCTTTGCTTGTGTGGAAGCACCAGTTTCTGCAGAGTGTGATGTGGCTGTGCACACTTACCAGGCAGGCAGGTGGGAAGCAGAAGAAAGTGGAGAAGACACAGCCATGGACAGGACGGCTTACAGCTCATTGTGGTCGGGGGAAAAAGGAGGCCAGCAGAGACCTGTCCTTTTCTGGCTGAATAAAACTTTTGCCAGTTCTAGTTCGATAATCTCAGAGAACTATTTGTTAAGCTTATTCAGACTGCTATGAACTGTGTTTGTTACTCAAAGGTCAACAGTTACCTCAGAGTAAGTCATAAAAGCTGCAGAAAAAAATTAAATTCATGTTAGTTTTAAATTCAGTATATTCCATACAACACTTCTAGAAGGCAGTAGAGAAGGCTTTTAAATAAAGTAATAGAAGTTGGGCTTTGCAATTCCCAGATGGTGGAAGATCAGGGAATGAATACCTACCCTTGTGTAAGCCTTTCTTCCTCTTGTCCTTCCTGCCATTGCTAAGGACTACTTATGGTGCCTAAATTTTCCAGAAATTGAAAATGAGATGGGACGGGCTCCTTTTCCAGCTTCATTACTCCCTAAGTCTCTGAGAAGCTTGGGAATGGGAGCCTGGCCATAGCTGTCCAATAAACGTTGACCAGCTTATCTGCCCCTAAATGTGCCCAAAGGGAGGAGGGCCAGATGTGCTCATTAACATTGACTTGTCCTTCTGTGTATGAATCAAAGCTCTTGGTCCTTCCTTTCTTATTCAAGGAAGGAGACTATAATCACAGACCTCACGAACTATTTGCAGTCTCATTTGTATCCATTTGTGCCTAAGGAAGACTGCTTGTGACTAAGTGTCTAAAGAGTACATCTGTGCCCATGTGTGTAGTATAATCATTCTTCCCCATTGGGCATTTTGAGTGTATAGCGTTTTTTTGTTTTTTTGCATGAGAATTTTTATGACCTTATGCTGGATTGCGTAGTTAACTTTTCCTGGTTGGTTGTACTCGTAGGATCTCTATGATGCTGGAGTGAAGAGGAAAGGAACTGATGTTCCCAAGTGGATCAGCATCATGACCGAGCGGAGCGTGTGCCACCTGCAGAAAGGTGGGCACTGTGCTGAGGGGGTCTCAGTGCCTTGGGGCTCTGGGGCGGCCGGGTGGATGTCCATGTTGGAGTTGAGTCTGCCAGAATGAGGTCCTCTCTCCACTTGCCACTCTCATAGGCTCACCCGTTTTCCCTCACCAGGTACATTCGCCTTTCTCTTCCATTCTGGATTCTTTCTCTTGCAAACAGTTTCTGCGTTTGATGCTGTAGCTTGCAGCTCCTTCTTGTCTGATGACCATTTTATCTCACCATATTTGTTGAAGTAGTGGACTTTGCTGCACGCTTTGTGCTGTTTCCTGTGGTTTTCAGATGGAATGGGTGTCATTCAGGGGAGATGGAGATGGTCAAAATACATGGCCTGGGCAATGCCATTCAGGACAGGTGCATGGTATGGCTGTCCCAGGACAAACTCGTGCAATGTCGGCTCTGGTCACCATGGCAACCTCTAACACCCTAGGATGCTATGATCATCCTCAATTTTTGAAAAAAATCATGGTGCATAAAACTAGGTGGGTGATTATTGACAGCTTTGACCAGCGGCTCTGATCTGATAACTCGCTGTTGGTTTTCCGCAGTATTTGACAGGTACAAGAGCTACAGCCCTTATGACATGTTGGAGAGCATCAGGAAGGAGGTTAAAGGAGACCTGGAAAATGCCTTTCTGAACCTGGGTAAGCAAGCGTGACCCCCATTCCTGGTAGATATCAGCTTTCAGTGGACAGTGCTGGAGCAGAAGTGACAGGTGGCCATCCTCTTAATTCCAGTGTTTGGGAGGTGTGGCTTCTTTTTTACAGTCTTAATTGTATAGGTTTACAGTTTTTAATTATTTAAATAATTTATAGTTTAATTGTATAGTTTTACAGTCTTAATTGTACAGGTTTAAGAATATAAAACTGAGTAAAAGCCTAAGTTGGTAACAGATTATTGTCAGGGAGGAGTCAGGGAACAGGAGAAGAGAGGGGGTGTGTTGAGGAGACTCACATGTGCTCTTGGGATCTGCAAGTCTCAGAGTCCCCTGGTTTAAAACCATGCTGGAACTCAATATTGCAGAGGATTTCCAGGATTCCCTTAGCCTGTCCCATTTTGCAGCCCGCTTCCATTGTATCAGGTCACTTCTGGTTTGTGGCCCAGGGTCAGGGCATCTTCTCCCACTGGCAGAGGAGAGGCGAAAGCAGCTGCAGCCCTGACTCCCTTTCTTCTCTCCACAGTCCAGTGCATTCAGAACAAGCCCCTGTATTTTGCTGATCGGCTGTACGACTCCATGAAGGTAAGGGCGGCTGGCTGAGGGGCTATGTTCCCACGCTCAGCTTTTCTTGTCTTGTGCCCCAAACTGAGTCTCCTCAACTCATGGATGGAGGAAGGGGACCCCACAGTCTTGGGGCAGGAGCACATTAGTCAGCTGTGGTTGTATTTGACACGTGAGAGAACCACAAATTGGTCTTCTTTCTCTCAGCTGCTTGAACATGTATTTGTGTTCAAGTGCTGTGGGAGAGAGAAAATGTGACATGGCCATCGTATCTGATTCCTGCTCTGGTTTCTCGGTGATTTCTTCCTGTTAGCCCCAGAGTTAAGACAAGTGAAGAAGGGAGCAATTATTAAGCACCCACTATGCAGTAGACATGTGCTACTGTTTCACCTTAAATCATTGCGGAACAAGTCTGAGGCTTCCATGATTGTCTTCTTTATAAATGTGGAGACGGAGCTCAGAAGGCCTCAAGCTGCTTGAAGTTACACAGCCAGATTTGAACCTGGGTCTGTCAGACTCCAAAGACAGCGCCACAAGTCTTCCTTCAACGAACCACCTCTTCCCATAGACCCATGCCCTTTTCTACACCTCAGATGTGCCACGTGTTTTCTGGCTTCTGGGCTTTTGCCTTTTCCTTCGGGAACATCTCCCTCGTCCGCGCTGCCTCTGCCATCTGTCTTTGAGTTCCATATCAAATGGCACCTCTCAGTGCCTCTGGTCTGATGCTCTGGAAGTAGACTCAGTGGTCTTTATTGCACATGTCACTCAAATGGCGCAGAGCGATGATAGAAATGTATTGGCATGTCCCCTCTAAGCCAGCAAGAGTCAGGAACCTCTTGTTACATATGGAAGCTCAGACTGCTTGAAGTGAGCCTTGTGGTAGTAGGTGCTCGGTATACATTTACTGAACGATGGCACAGAGTGGGAGTCTGTGCTGACTACAGCCTGGTGTGTTTGGAATTCCCAGATACTCTTCGCTCTTTTCTTTTCTCTTCTTCTCTTTTCTTTTTTTTCTTCTTTTCTTTTTTCCTCCCCTTCCTCGCTCCCTCCCTCACTTGCTCTCTCCCCCCTTCCCTCCCTCCCTTGCTCCCTCCCTCCCCCACTCCCTTCTTCTGTTGCTTCCTCCCTCGTTCCCTCCCTCCCTCTCTCGCTCCCTCTCCTGCTCGCTCCCTTACTCCTTCCCTCCTTCGCTCCTTCCCTCCCTCCCTTCTTTCCTGCCTGCCTCTCTTTCTTTTTTTCTTCCTTTCTCTTTTTCTCTCTTCTCTCTCTCTCTCTGTCTCTGTCTCTGTCTTTC